AATTGCACGCCATGCGGCGAGTTGCTAGAGTTTTGTATAAATAAATCGTCTTATTCTTGATATGTTTTCGTACCCACAACACTTTTTCTTTCCGTCTTTGTGTAGTCTTCCATCGCTTGTTCACATGTGGGCATGAGCGATTCTATTACGCACTGAATTTGTTTTCCCTTTGCTCTCTTCTTCTACCAGCGCCTCATCCACCGGGGGTGGATGGTGCTGCTCTTCGCACACACCACAGCGCAGTGCAAACCGCAGAGTGCCGTGTAGATGGCGTGTCGTTATTTCATCGCCCCTCCCCCTGCAGCCTGTCAAGACATCATATCTCCAGCACAGATTGTTTTGGTGTGCTGGCCAGACAATACACCTTCGGAGCTGTTGTGGTTCTGTACTGGGCACTGCTGAGCAGCTTCAAATTAGGAAGGGTGCGCACCACAGAGCTGGAACCGACACCGCGGTGGGGTGCTATCTCCGCTGTCACCGTCACCAACAAGTGGTACGATTTGGTGGGTTTTCCGATGAATGAGATGCCCTCCACGATGAGCGACGAAGCTACAGGGTGTGGCAGATGGAGCACTGCTGCTGGATTCAGACCAAGCCGCGGGACACTCCTCTGGCTGAAGATGACGCTGCAAATGTTGTCACATGCGGTCCACATTGCAAAGGGCGGTGGCAATATGACTCTCTGGGCACTCCCACACCGCGGGGTCTACTGGGGAGAATACCTCACTCTGAGTGCCCTAAAGGGGCAATGTGGGTGTGTGGCTCCACGCTGCTTCGGGAATACGCGGTGCCCCGAAAGGGATACGGCTGAGCAGCTTGCGCCGTCCGAACCACGGCGGTGTCTTGTGCAGGTGCCGTACACCAGCGAAGGAGGGGTAGCGGTAATCCGTCACCCAGCATGGAGTACGAGGGTGTGGTGGCGTTGCGGGCATTGATTCTGGGACTGTATTTTCTGTGTGCCTCCTGTTCTGTGTTGACCAATTTGACTCCTGTGGCACTTTGCACCATTGTGTATGTTCTTTCAGCTCTCTCTTTGCTCACCTGCCTCTGGGGGTGGCCTCTGCCTGACCCTGTCTGATTGTTATCGCCGTCTGTCCTCTCCGTTGTGTCCCTCTGTGTGTCTAGGACCGTTACAGAAGTACCCCAATAAGCCAATCGACAGGATTAAGTGTGGGCCTGAGAACATTCGAGTGCAATCCGCGGTGCAGCAGTGATTCCAGGCGTCTGCGCCATGTCCCTCAGCCATGCCGCGACAAGCTCGCTCGCCGGAAACTTCACCGCACCGAGCCAGCAGCCGAGTGATCTGCCGGAAGCCTCCTTACCCCTTCGGATGCAGTATGGCGAGCGAGACCCCAACGTGTTCTTGCAGTTGATGCCATGCATTGTGTGGACAATCGCATTCCTTGTGCTGCGCGTCGTCTGCCAGCGTGGGTTATCGTGGCTCGGCCTCTACCTGCAGGTGGTGGTGCCGAAAACGAGCTGTGGGAGCGACGGCGCCAAGGCGACGTACCTGAGCAAGGGGCAGCGCGGCAAGCTGAAGAAGTTCCAGAGCCAACTGTGGCCTCCCGCTCCGCGAGACCAACCGCGTCAACATTCTTGTCCCGCATCCGTACATCCCGGGCCCGGAGCTGCTGCACTACTACCGCTACGGCCTCGGCTTCTACCTGTCGGAGAGCGTCGCACTGCTGATGGAGCAAGACATGAAGCGCTCTGACTTCTTGGAGTACGTGATTCACCACATTGTAACGATCGCCCTGAT